TTGCTTTCTGCCGGGTTACCCATCAACATCTTTGATTTGCTTTAGAAGCCAATCCATTGAAACCATTAGCGGAAATGCCATTAGTATCCCTGCGAAGCAGCTGTGGGACAGGGGGCCCAGATAGTATACATTTTTGTCTTTTTTTCTCATCGCCTTCTAATGATGTCTGACTCCTGTTCTGGTGCTCTGGCTGAAGGGCGATTTCGTTATCAGGTGGGGGCGTTCATCATCTTCAGAGGGACTCAACCTTCCCAATAATGCCCGTTTTCCATTCGCAAAATGCATGCTGTGTATCCCCAGCATGTTCCCAACCAATCCAGAATGTCTCTTTGATGGTGTCAGCGTATGAAAAATTGCGATAATATCGAAAAAAGCATACTCGACGGAAACCATATCGTTTACCCCTATTTTATTCTCATCCTTAATTTCCACGTCGATCAGAGCCGTTCATGCTACATACAAGCAGCACTGTCATAAAATGTCTCCACCTGTCTCCACCTACGACTCCAGACTCTTGCATATGACCACTTTCACCGGTCCGAAATCTGGTCACCATGGTTTTCCTAGATATAGGCCTGGGAAGAATTTGTTGTAGGAACTCCTTTTTCGATTCCGGGATGATACGCCGGTCCTTCGAAGAATAATGCACCTGCTCTTGTATATAATTTTTCTTCCAACAGCGCTTCCTGGTTCTGGAAAAACAACGCATCGGCGTCAACAGAAAGGACCTCCCGGAAACTAGAGAGTAGAGGGTTTGGCTACCCATCCTTTGAGATTCTACCACTCGTTGTTTGCCATCTAGCTTAGATCCCTTGTAATAACCCCTAGGAGCATTCTCAGCTTGGCGCGGTAATCCTCTTACTAAGGTCTTCGTCGCCCAATACATGATTTCAATGGGTAAATTGCAACCACGACGTCGAAACGACTTAGTCGATAGGAGCAGCCAGAGTGCTTGTTTGTTCCCCTCCCCTATTGGAAACAATTACCTGACTTCTATTTGAAAGTTAAGATGTGGATGCATGTGATCGGAGAAGTAAGGGGAGCTTGAAAATAGAGGCTGTATGCTCTAGGCCTTAGGTCAACTTCTCGCGGTTTTCCTTCCCTGTCGCCCCCGATCGGCTTAACAATTCTCTAATATGCATGTCATCCGGCATTGTTTTTGTTTGGAGGGGTCATGTCAGTAGGAATCCGTCTGCTGTGACTCTCTTGTTTTCCTAGAGGCAGATCCTTACCTAAATCATGTTGTTCGACCAGATCTGCTTTCGGACGTTATTATTCCTTGTGCTGAAGATCCTGAAGATCGATTTTCTTTGAAGTTGGTATTCCATTTTTCTGCCCGGAGGCGGGGGTATTGTCTCCGCTTTGTCGCTCTTTTCTGTACAGTTCTGTTGCGAGGGAAGCCAAATCCATAAAGGACAGAGTGATTGTGAATAAAAGAAGCAGCAAACGTATTACGGCTCTGTATTTTCGAGGAGGAGAGTATCGAGATCACCGATATAGATTGGCCGGGGCAGAAAACATCATATTGACCGCTCATTAAGTTTCCATGGGCTAGAAACAAGTGAAAAGAGCTTCTAGAGCAAGCATGATAAGCCCATGAAAGAGAATCTCGAAATCAGCGGTTACTGTACCGCAGACATCCAGAAAGTACCCAAGTCACAGCCCCAACTCATATTTTTCTTGCATCGCACCAGATCAGGGCTAGGAAGCTTTAGGGAAGTCCTAATAATAGGGAATAATAGGGACACACTCTCAGTCTCCTTCCTGTCAGCAACATCTGGGCTCGATACTGTCGACTGGGTAAGACCTTTTTTTTCGGATATTTGCCCTTCTCAAGGGATCCCCCGAGCCAGACAACATTGAGATAAGACACTAAGCTCATTTCACCATCGCGCGGCCCGCAGGCCAAGAGCCTTAGTCGCCAGCCTCCTGTCGTTGGCTTGGCCGATTTTTGTGTGCGCATGCAAGAGCCTCTTGAATCAACATCTTGTCGATTGCATCACGATTCTGCGGACATTCAGGTACTGTTCCAACTATTATTCGGAAGGACAAAAAACACCCATCGCGACCTCTGTGACATACCGCTCGTTCGATCATAGATCTCGTCTCCCCCAGCAACGAGCTTTGGATTGTCTTGCCAAGATTAATTCGCGTTGTTTTGACGACCAGGCCTTCGAGGTGAATACACACCATCGCCTTGCGCGACTCTAATCTGGCTGGTTTGATTCCAGTCATATCCTGACTAGTATCGAGGCTTATACTATAGCTCTAGGCACACCTCCATACGCGGCGCTCTCCGGTTTCAAGCAGCCCAGAAACACCTGGGCTCAGAGATTGCAGATCACCGCCAATTCGTCCAACATCGGCGCCTTTGGAAAAACCGAAAGTCCCCCGATGCCATCTCTCTCGTGACATCCTATTATTTCGGGATTTGTGGACGGTGGAATTGCCCATTCAAGATGAAGGAAATAGATATCGAGGAAGCTCCCGTTCCTAATTCACTGGAGGCGAGCAAAGGTTCAAACTGGTCTCTTGTTGCGTGGATAACGGCGAACGTCTTGGCGACCACCGCGATTGTATGAGCCCCTTTCCTTGGAACCGAACACGACGACATCGAGAACAGGTAATGACTAACATTTAATATAAAGGTCTATGTCAACAAATTGATCTTCACCGACCCCTCCTTCGGGAGATGCCCGTTGGGGTTTGCTGCCTTCCACTTCTTCATCACGACCTTGCTGCTCTATTTTGCTTCTCGCCCTAGAGTGCGCCTATTCGTCCCGGTACGAACAAGTGTCCTCCCGGTCCTCCCTCTCACATTGATTATGTGTGCCAGCGTTGTCTTCCTAAACCTGTCGCTTGCCTATTCCTCGATACTATTCTACCAGGTTGTTCGTTTATTACTAACTCCTCTTACCGTCATCATTAACTTTTGCTTATACGGCTCGAAAATCCCCGTGAGAGCTTGCCTCGCCCTCCTCCCCACCGGTATTGGCAAGGGGATAGTGTCATACTATGACTCCTTCAGTGAAGTCCCAAAGAAGGCCACAGTCGAAACTACCTCGGGCGCTGGGGTATGGTCTTTTCGTTTTACTGGTGTTACTATCAGCGCTGTATACACCCTTTGGGTTTCACAGTATCACAAAAAGCTGCAGATGGATAGCATGCAATTACTATATAACCAGGTCCCCTTCGGCACATTGCTCCTCTTCATTGCAAGCCTTTTCACAGAAACATTCCCCGTGTGGGGGGATGTACTCCCTCGGCAATGGATACTACTCGTGATAAGTGGAGCTTGCGCTTGTATCGTGAACCTCTCTCTCTTTTTCATTATTGACCATGCAGGCCCCGTCAGCAGTACTGTCACTGGACATCTAAAAACTTGCATCATCGTTGGACTTGGCTGGGCTTTAAGCGAGAAGATCGTGGGTTTTGAAAGCAAATTTGGCATCCTTCTCTCAATATTGGGCATCATATTATACTCGTTTGCAATGCATAACAAGAGCGCGAAAGGCTCTCAGCCGGAAAAGAGCAGAGAGGATGAAGATATGAAGTAGGTTCTCAAAGTCAGATAGGAGCCTTATGTATATGATATATGTTACACTTAGAGACAGTAAATGTTGATATTTAACCGCTTTTCAGCCATATCTGCATTCAATTTTTTTGGAGGCCATTCTACGGTGCCCGCTGATGAACTACCAGTTAGTGTCATTGATTATTCTAGTTTATAGAACAGTGGATTGATTTACGAAGCTGGCGGAAATCAGGCTCGAACTCCCCATGATCCACCTGGCAATCCTCACATTCGTACTAGCACATTGCTCCTTTCACCTCCGCGCAATTCAGAGATACAGCACTTCCCAGCTTGAAACGAGGCAACTTTTCACTTCCAGCCGACACTCTTTTACTCCACTCCGTATCCCCTAGCAAATTCGGACCCGAAAGCAACCAACAGAGGCCATCTACACAACTTCAAGAACAAGAGGGCAATAAAAAGAAAAGAAAAGAAAAGAAACGCTCCGTCGCCATAGAAAACAACCGCCGGCGGACTTTAATGTATGGCCTCAGTCATCTCATTTCATTTGCATCGGGTCGAGGAGTGGTTGGAACCCAGGGCAACCAACATACGCTCCTCAAATTTTTGTCGGCTTAGGAATTCAACAACTGGCACATCACCTCGCCAGGCACACAGTTGAGATAAAAGCGCAGATAATCTATGAATAACTGCTCCTCTGCTCCTCTGCTCCTGTTTTTTCCTCTTGTTCTTCCTTTCAATGTAGCTTTTGCACTGTACATGTTTTTATTTGTCAATGATCTATGATTTAATATTGTCCTTTGTTTCAGAAGGTTAATAATAATAACAATAAGAACCAAGAATATTTCATCAATTACATTGATGTAAAATCAATCTTCGAACACAATAGGCGGATAAGCCTGGCTAATAGTATTTACAAGTTCCAGGTACGCGCTATCTTCAACTTCTTCAGTAAAATTAAACAAAAGAAAAGAAAGAAAAGAAAAGCAGCGCTCAACCTCTGCTCTCTAGCCTACTCAAGGCCGCCAACACAATGGCCAAATCCTCCTTCTCTATTCTCAAATCATCCTTCTCATCCTCATCTGCATCTCCCCCGTTGCCTGCTCCTTCATCGCCCTCCGCCGCCTCACCAACTTTCTGTTTACCCTTTCTCCTTCTCGTTCTCATCGTGCGGCCGTTGGCATTGCTTCCTAGCTCCTCCCCACCAATTCGTTTCTGCCGTAACTGATCGCGCTCTTCCAATAGACGCGCACAAATCGCAAGAACCTGCCCTGCCACGTCATCCGCTGCGCGGCGGAATAGTTCGATGTCGTGGATCCCCGAGGCGAAGGAGTCAAGGGTTGGGATTAAGGATGTCGTTAGGTGGGAAAGGCGAAATGTTATGTTGGATATTGAAGTACAGGATGAGTCTGTTTGCGCGGTTGGTGCAGATTCATCGGAAGGTGCGCGGGTAGAGTTCAATGGATTCAGAGCCGTCAGGATCGCTAGTTGAGAAGAGTCGAGGAGGGCGGGGTTTATTACTTCAGTTTGTGGTGTGCATGTGGATGGTTGTTGATTTTCGGATTGTTGTATGGATGTCGAAGACGGAGGTTTTATTTTTGGAATTGACGGTGGCCGTACGAGAGATGTAAGTGATTGTCGCTCTAGTTGCAGTCTACCATGTAGAGTTAGTATTTGTTTCCCATGTATATGCAAGTCAAAGGTGAACCGCATTGAACTGCATACTTATGTATCTGCTCCTCCAATTCTTTAATTTTCTCCGCGTTTTGTATATTCCTTGGATTTGGTTTCTTTACTACTACTGCCGGCGGTGTGGTTTCTTGCCGACCAAACCAGTCCGAAAGTTCAGGCCGATTCGCGAAATCCTCAAGCAGTTCCTCCTGTATTACCCGAGCTACATGGGGAACAAGACCGTTGTTAGCATCCACTCAAATGGTGCATCTCAGAAGCCTGTCTCCGCGCTCAAAAAACATACCAGCCAATCTAGCACTTTCGTCCCCCGACCTAGATCCAGATGGCTTCTCCCCTAATGCTCTGGTCGCGCACCACGTAAGGGAGCTGTCTCATTCTCTTGGGCTCGGACAAGGCTCACATTCGATATGTTTGTAAAAATGCGCCGTGTCAACCTGGTCATGCGGTAGCGCTATTGATACAACATAGAAGCATTAGCATCTTTTCTAGCTCAGGAATAAACACCGTAGCGGAATAAAATAAAATCATATATGAATCATAAAACACACCATTAGACACCCCGGATTCAATCAGCCAGCTCGCTCTCCTCCCCCTCCTCCCAAGACTACTCCGCCTCTGGCCCTTCTGGCTCTTCTCCATCCGCATCTCCTTGTTCTTCTGAATAACGGGCGTGTCCGCAAAGGGGAGTGCAATTTTCTGTGTATTCACATCTGCTAATGGCGTAGTAACCTGGCCTTCCGTCTCCTCCCCTAGAGGCTCCGTTTGTGAGCCTTTGGCCTTACTTGAACCCCGCTTCCGCTGAACCATGATTGGTGCGGGTGCGACATCATTCGATTTCCGCCTGGGCTTTAATGATTTCTCTGTCACTGTTGCAGTTGGTTCCTCTTCAGCCAGACGTTTTGACGTTCGTCGAAGTGGTCGAGTGGGGAGTTTTCCATTGGGAGTCTCAAATGTGACATTGCGCGGTGCCTCCGTGGATTTTGGAGGTCTCCCTCTTCCCTTCTGCTTCTGAACAGGTTGCTGTTGAGTATCCTCATCCCTTGGTAGTGGTGGTGGAACCGAATTCTCTCGATGTAACGACTTTGATTTCTTTGGGGCCAGGTGCTCGAGTGACCCTGAAAGCCTTCAACATCCTTGTCGTACTCAACTGTATGATAGAGAAAAGGGAAAGTGAGGATTAGCACTGCTCAAACTACACCACACCACCCAACGTAAAATAATCAAGCCTATCAACCAGCCATGAAGGAATGAAGGACCACTCACCAGCCTTCCGCTTCGCTCCCCATCCATTCGCACCACCTTCAGCATACCCATCTCCTCCCTTCATACTCTTCTTTGTTCCGTTCCCATTTGCCAGTCGCCCCCGCGCCTGCGACATCGCCGGATTGATGGTCGTCAGCGGAACGCGACTATGTGTCGTCCCCTGTTTGTATCTGTTTGGCCTACTATCGCCAAAATCTATGATATGATGCGTGCTTCGTGTACTAATCGTGGCTGCTGGTGCTGCGATGGTGGCTGTCATGTCCGGTTAAGCAACGCAAATAATTTGTTTGGTTGTTGTAATGCTTGTCGCGAGTTTGAGTGACGCCGTCCCAATGTCACGGCAAATGAATCACACAGAAATATGCAGCTTTTTTTCAGCCGCTGGCAACAGAAAGTGGACTCCGTTCGATGGAAATGCGACGCGCCGGATTTCTGCGCTGGTATCACCTTTCAGGCTGTCCCTACCGCTTCGAATTCGAGCAATTCCCGCAACAACAACAACAACAACAACCAACTACCGCAGAGGGCAAAGAAGACGCGCCCAAGAAGCCGTGATAAGTCGCAGTCGCCAAGCCAATCGCAATTCTTCGTCCCTGCTCTCAGTCCCTTTCCGTGGTGTCTGCGTACAAGAGTTCCAATCGCAATTCAATGCGAAATGGCTAATCTGAATCTGCTCTTGGCCACACCCAGCTCGTCTCGCAGCATTTCCCGAGCGGCTCGAACAATGAGAATATGCCTCCTATCTCCCCGCCGGTAAGATAATCGTAGCAGAAGGCACGGTTTTGTCCTCGTCGTCCGTGTACTCCGGACCCTCCTTCAGTATCCTCCCTTTCTCGCCTGGCAGCAAAGCGGTGTTGGATCGTGCTACACACACGCACACAATCAATCGGTCGTCACGGAAAAATAATTGGCGAGTCCCTAATGGTATCGTAGATCCGGGTCCGTTGCGTTTGTTAAATATGATGGTCTTCGTGTGTGTGTCTGTTCGCTGCCCTTATCCATGCCGAAATCCAAATGTTTTGGTCTTGGCGCGTCGTCGAGGATCAGCACATCAGAGTTGGCAACTAGTTCTATTTTAGACTAGTGGGTTTTTTTTTTTTGGATATTAATCACGTGATATTCAATATGCTTTGAAAATAGATTGCACTAGTTAACTACTTCAACATTTCAACGAAACTTGGAATTAATAAGAAAAATTAAAGGATGCAAGGAAAGAACGAAATGAATTGAAAGAGTATATATGAAAGAATATCAACAAGTTAAATGGGCATCGCTGGTGTGTCATCACTGGTCGTCATCATCACACATCGAGGGACTTTTCCTAGTAATGTTGTTGAAATCATCTATGGAGTTGTTGCTTTTAATGTTTCCCCTTTTGTGCCTCCTTCCTTAATTAGCTAGCTTTAATATCCAAGCTGAGGCGGGTCCCCCATATCTAAACAGATCAATCAAGGAATCTAACATCCAGAACTTTTCCTAACATCGGATCTTGACGGCTGCCTCATTTCTTATCCGTCAGATGGAGCATTCAAGCTCCCTTCAATTCTGCGCATTGCCTCCGCCCGGTCCTTCTCCGTGACATTCTCCTCATTCTTCCGCATATCAGGACTGTGCTGTCGTGTATCAGGGTGGTGGCCAATGGACATGCCAACGCGGACCTAAATGAACGATTACAGTTAGACAATAAAATATATATATTTTGATCAAGAATGCTAAAATTCATGCATCCAGCCTTCTCTCCTTTTGTTTTTTTTTTATCTCTATTTTTATTTTTGTTTCTTTTCTTTTCTTTTTGTTGTTTTTGTTTTATCTAGATTTTGAACTCGCTTCACTGGGTATTATGACAACTCAAACTTACCAAAGTCTCAAGTGCTCCCAAAGAATTCCCCACAAGGTCTGAGTCAAAACACAGCTTCCCTGGCTCAAACAACAGCAACAACGTGCTACCGCCGAATTTGAAATAGCCCAGCTCTTCCCCGCGTGCCACCTTCTCGCCTTCCTCCCGCGTAATAACGGTGCTTCCAACCATCATCGCTCCGACACAAACAACCATCACACGACCATGCTCAACTGAATCGATGGGAACGACGATCCTTACGTTTTCTCCGTACACGTCCAGTGCGGAACGGATCGCCATTGGGTTCACGGTGTAGTATTCACCTTCGATAGTTTTTGGCATCCCCATCACGCCATCGACGGGAATGTGGAAGCGGTGGTAGTCCTGTGGCGCCAATCTGAAAATCCCCAGGGCACCGTTCTTGTACCGCCTCGCGTCCTCCGGGTAAGCTTTGCCCAGGAGTCGTTCTACGGAGAACTCCCTTCCCTTAACCCAAATCTTGGTAGCTTCGTCGATGCGGTCGAAAACAACAGTCCGACAATCAGCTGGTGATACAGCGATTTTAGGATTGTTTGGCGCAGAGCAAGGGCGTGCACCTGGTTTGAGGGCGCGGTAGAAGAACTCATTGAACGATTTGAATTCGCTCAGAGGAAGGAGAACTTCGGACATATCGAGCCGGTGAAAGTTTATGAAAGGTACGATCTGAGCTGCGGAGGCAGGGTCATCATACTTCTTTCCTTGCTTGATACTCAATGACTTGAGCATTTTCCGAACTATGATTTGGTGAGCATAATCCTGTCATCATAGTACAAAGAACAATTCATATGTGAACATACTTCGTTTTTTCTCCATTTCCCTACTCTTTAACCCTTTGTACAGAAGTCGAATCCCAAGTCTAACATAAACACTCATCCGTTCCTCGTTGATCTGCCCCGTAATCCTATCCTGGACCAGGATGTTGGCAGAGTTTGCACCTAGTTTATACCCGCCATAGGATATCTTCGTAATAACTTTCGAATACCATTTCCGTTGGGCCTGACTAGAAGTTACAAAACCGCCCATAACCAGATTATCAACCTGTCTCCAATCCTGGCTCATACAAGTAGCAATGTGGGTTATTATATCGGCGTCTGATCGTTTTCCCAGTCTTGGCTGATGGCAAATTGGACATTCTCGAATTTCGACTACATGTTCCTCTCCTCCATCCTCTCCAAGATCATCAGGGTGGAGGTTATCATCGCTATCCCCAGAAGAGCTTGGTACATCACAGGATATAGTTGGTACAGCTGGTCGCTCAAGCCCAGTATTCGGAGACCGCGTAAGGCTAATTTCAGGCATGTTGTCCTCACTACTGGATTGATTCTCACTTTCCGGGGTCTCTTTGGGTGCATGACGAGGAATGTCCCTCAATGACTTTTTCTGCAGAGACTGGAGCGTATCTTCCAAGCAGATAACAGCTTGATCAAATGTGAGGTCGGCACTTTCACTGGGTTCATTTTCCTCTGCAAGTCGCTTGAAAAAACCGTCAATAGTAGACTCTTTAAGCGTCGAACCCAGAGTATCAAGCATTGTCGTCAGTTCAACTTTGCTAATGCGCCCGCTATCATCAGCATCGTATTGCTTAAGCATTGCTCTCCAAAACTGTTGGCGCAATGCCGGATACGGCATGTATTTCGCTTTCACATGAAGCTCTGGGAAATGCTTGTCCTCCCAGCGCTCCTTGTATTTCATAGCAAGCGGGATAATGTAGGTCTTGAGACCATATTCATCGGCAGGCACTTTGGGTTCTTCTACCATATTCCCCGATGCCGGTAAGTTTAGCTGGGACGAAGTCTCACACGCGATGTTGGGAGGGGAGGTGCCTTGTTGGTCCTGGCCAGACTGGCTTGACAACGAAGTTGTTGAGCTTTTAGACCTTAGTGGTGGTTTTGTGGGCTTCGTCAGACTTGTAGTCGACGAAGAACGAGATAAATTGAGACGGAATCGTGATTTAGAAAGAGGAGGTGTAGGGGATGGTTCCGATGGGGGTCCGGGCAACTTGTATAGCCCCGTCTCTGGGTCTGCAATTGGTGCCGCCAATGCAAGTGTTTGTAAGGGGAAACTGGCCGATGCGACGAAATCGTTCCCAGACAGTTTGTCTCTGTCAATAACTGTAAAGTAAATACAATACGACTGCTCATGTTTCATAACTTGGAAGACCATCTTCTCGTCGAAAACAGGGTTTAGATTATGGCGTATAACACGGGTTCTGAGCGTTTTCTTGCCCAACGATGTAACTACGAAGGGATCCATGTCGAAAGACGTGCGTGTCACTGAAACGCGATGTCAATTCGAAGACCGTTCCTGCATAAACATAGACTGGGGGAATGAAACTCCTTACTATTTCTCTCTGGAGGCAAATCCAATATTTTCACTATTTCCATAAACACAATCCCAGAGACACCGTCTTTGGAGCCAGAAAACTGATATGCTCTGGCAGCCATAGATTTGCGCTTCAGACGAGCAATCCGAAGCTTGCGACGGCGCTTCTCAACGACGTCTGTCTTCGTGGGGTCATCAGTTCCATCAGATGTCTCATCTTCCTTCTCGAGATCGTCCGTATCGGGGGAAACAGCAGGGCCAATCTCATCCTCATCATCGCTAGATACGATGGCTTTGAATTTCTGAAAGATCTCCGCTGGCTGAGCAGATGGATCCGAAGGGTCAAAGAGAGCAAATTGCATCTGGATTTCACCAGACACATCACTCCTCTTCTTGCCCGCTTTCCGCCCAGAATGCAACGTGTACCATTGTGGCTAACCCCAGACGTCAGCCCCATGCAACTCAATAGATATCACGCCACCTCTTTCTAAACATGGAAACGCACCTGTGGTTGGATAGTTCCAGCAGAAAAGATATCCTCCAGGGGTATATAAAATTCCCCCATGTAGTCTTTGCCAAATCTATCTTTATCCCAACATATGCACTCGAGGAGCGGCACACCGAGGATTGGTAAGTCGAAGGAGACGTTCCATTCTGGATTCAATGTTTTGCTTATCGTAGGGGTTGACTGTCGGGCTTCGCCCAAGCTTACAACTAAGTACTGTGTAAATTGGGGGAGGCAAAAGCCGAAAAAAAGTCAGTCGATATTGGAAAGGATGGAAGTAACGGACGAGCAGAGAAGACTCACAGGGTCACTCAACCCATTCCTATCCTTAGGTGCTAGGTTCCTTCCCTGTAAATTGACAACACAATTAGCTTCTGCTCCATCGCACACATTATTATTGGCCCCACGGTCCCGCAGATACACGGGAAAACAGAATGGCGTGCATACGGATATAACAGTTGCCTTGAGAAACAACGGTTTGGTATCGGGCCTTGAGGGAGCGAGGCCAGGACTGAGATCGGCAGAGGGAGGAGTAATGCCGCTTTTGGAGCTCAGATGGCGACGGGCAAGAGATATTCGGACCATTGTAATGTGTAAAAGGTTATGGGGGACGAACGGGATCCGCTAAGAGGAGACGGCGTGCCTGGGCGGGAAATGGATGCACCGGGTCAACGGTCAAAGCGAGAGGGCCGGTTAAGAAGCAAGAGTAGAGACCGAAGCAAGGCTGAGAAAACAGCACAATTGCCAGGGAGATAGATATGCAGCGATTCGAGAGCAGAAGATATGAAGCTGCGGTGTAATGATGAGAAGCAAAGCTGGGTGAGATGAAGAAAAGAAATGTCGAAGTTACCGAACGGCTTCCCTATAGGTATGACGGGGTAAATTAACGAGCGAAAAGGTTGACACGCAGAGGAATCGAACACGATGAGACGGGAGCTGGATCTGGGCCTGTGGCCGTGTGTTGGTGGTTGTTGTTGACCAGCTCTGGCGGAAGCGGTCAGACGCCAGCAGCTGGTATCATGGGCAGCGATCACTGGGGAGACCAAACAACACGACCCAACACGACCCAACACGTCAAAAACACGATACCCGCAAGCAGTTGAAACAAGGAATATATACGAAACAGAGAGGAAAAATGTTGACAATTATGGATACATGCCACGGAATCGCCTATCCTTCGTGGGCTCTCAGCAGCAGCAAAAGACCTGGGAGTGCCATTGGAGCGGATGCGCGTGTTAGGGGAGGCTCAAGCCCTGTCTCGAAGCGCTTCCCAGCAAGCCCAAACCTTGGGTGTGGCTAGTGGGATGTCGACAGAGTTAATCCGCGGATACGAGGAATCCCTGAGGAATCCTGGCCGATTCTTTCCTGATGCCGAGCGAGATTGGCTGCCAGCGGTACCTCCGTTCACCAATTGGAATGGGCGCATACAGAGAAATACTCAGACGTCCTCCAGAAACTATGACGATATAGATGGCTTCTTAGCCTGCAATGTCCTTAAGAATTGCGGGCTGCTTCCTTGGCCAGAATTTTCGAACTAGGCTCCACTCCTACTGAACTCCTCATTTTGACAGCCAGTCGATGGTGGGGTAAATCCCAATTTCTCCACGGCTAGAAGAGAGATGCCACAAAACCGACACTGTTCATAATGAGAGTACATGTCCAATGCGTTTGGATTTTAATTAATGCATCGGAGTGAAGCCCGCATTCAATGTTTTTAACAACCCCCGCCCCCGCCCCCCCCCCCGATGCAGCCGAGAAACCCAAAAAGCAAGAATCCAGGACTCAATCAAAACTCTGTGCGTATTCCCCTCAATCTCGTGCACGATCAATCTCTCCCGCGCTCAAATCAGATACAGGTACGTGGTAGGGTAGCCACCCCACCATGCATCCCAGCCTCTAGCCCCTTCCCTGAAACAAGCCACACATATCCCAATGACACTGAAGCTGCGCATCCGGTTCGTTCCGCACTTCAGGTCCTGGGAAATAGGATTCAGCTTCGAGTGGGGTGTGGAGTCCGTCGCACCGTTGACAAGATTGTTGCTCAATGATTTGGCCAACGATCTCACTCTTTCAAGCCTGCCGTTTGATACTGCGAAGGCTAGCACCCCACCCAAGGTTACATGTCAGCATCCATGAATATCAAGGGCCAAATGGCCCCATACCAGGGATTGTATCCTATCCGGAGCTCTCAGATATTTAAAATGGGGAAATAATCTTTAATCCTGAACATTTTTGTACGCAGCGTATACATGTGTTGTCCGCGCATCACTTGAAGTTAATTCCACGTTTGAATCAATAAGCATTTAGCAATGAGCTCACTCGTCATCTTTCACTTTTAGAGAAAGTAAAATAAGACGTAAAAACAATCCATGTAGCCATCATTGGTGAATAGAAGGGGAAGCTAAAATAGGGTGCGTCACTTAATATCAAGTAACTAATAATAATATTATTAAATCATCTCTCCCCGCTTGCTGAGCGAGATCCCACTCTCTTGCGAAAGCTAGCATGGAATTGTATCCGCCTTTTTTTCTGAGGATTATGTTTTTATTTTGATATTTTCTACACTGTACTTCACCCGCAAGTATCTATTCTACCTATTCAGCAGTAAGCAGTCATAAAAATTTGAAGTGCAGCACCTGCACCCCATCAATAGCTCGTCAAATTTCGACCCGGCATTATAACAACGCTTCGTAATCTGTCGGAAATTCACCGAAATTGGATTAGCTAGGCCACGGGTCCTCTTTTAAATTCCCACGCTTTTAATTGCCTCTTTTAGTTACATTTCATCACCAAAGGTGCTTCACGTGGACACATGTGCCTCAAACTCCCATTTCTTCGACCAATCCTTTGATAATCACATTTAGGGCCTCCCTACTGAATTAAAGGGGAAAAAAATATTTTTTTTTTTGGTCACACTATGGCGATGATACTAGGTCAATTTCGTTTTCCAAGTTTCTGACCCATGGTGAGGCATGCTCCTGATACGACCTATAAACACAAGACGAGATCACGGATAGTTAGTTTTGATCAACTCATATTATAAACCATTTACTATGATCGCGGAAGCCCTACGTACAGAGAACTTCTCAATCGACCTAAACCTGGCCATCCGGTATAAGTCCGTTCACGACGCGTTTATCTCAAAACACAAATGCCAAGAGATGATCAATTAACTACTCATACCCTGTGCGCAAAAATTTCTTGATCGATGAAACACCCGAAAGTGCCCATTGATATATATAATGTCCCTTAGGATTGAGTACAAAAGGGGGACCCCTTTGGTGAGAGCATTTCAGGTACAAACCCCCCCCCCCCCCCCCTTCCACACCCACACCTCATGTGTTATATATTACATGCATTGAGATAGGTTATCCCCACTACCTTTGGGATTGGCGGCTAGCACAACTAATTAACTTGCCAATGCCTGACTGAATGCGTATTCTAAAAATAGCGCAAGAAGCCAAGTGCCAAGAAAACCCTAAATAAGCTTAAAATGACTTTGT